TTCACCAGCTTTTTGTTTTTGATGGTTACCTTCACTGCCTAAGCATGGCTGTCTTGAAATTCAATCTGTAAGGCCAGGCTGGCCTCAAACTAAGAGATCTGCCTGCCTCTGTTTTCTGAGTGCTTGGATTAAAGGTGTGCACCACTACTCCCAGCTCTAAGCTTTTCTTTAATTCCTTTCCACAAGTTGGAAATTTAGCTGAGTGGGATCTTGCCCTGAGGTCACCATTCCCTCAGGTATTCCATTTCTTAATCTGTTTATCTCCTTGAACACAAGACTTATCTCCATTCCACTTTCTGGTCCTCCTTATTTCCTCAAATTGTACATTTTGTATTTTTTTTCTTTCTCAGCTTGCTCCTTTTTATTATAAATCTGTGTAAGTGTGACCACTAATAACCACACAACAGAGTCAATACTATGCTGTTTTGAGATTTCCTTTGCCAATGGAATTAATCCAAAACTTTTCAATTTAGCCTCAGGCAAATTTTTCCAGCAAGGGCAAAAAGCAGCCACATTTTTCATTCTAACATTCCTCTTTGAAACCTCTTGAGCCAGGCCCTTACAGTTCCAATCACCCTCAGCTCCAGTCTTCTGTGTTTCTAATGAGATGGCCTATTAAGCCCCACTTAAAGCATTCAACTGCTTTTCTAATTCACACTACACATTCCTCCAAACCAAAACATGGTCCAGCCTATCCTAGCAGTACCCCATTCCCTGGCACCAACTTCTGTCTTAGTTAAGGTTTCTATTAATGTGAAGAGACTCCAAGACCATGGCAACTCTCATAAAGGAAAACATTTGATTGGGGCTGGCTTACAGTTTCAGACGTTTAGTCCATTATTATCATGGCTGGAAGCATGGCAGCATGCAGGCAGATATTGGGGTAGAGAAATAGTTGAGAGTTCTTCATCTTGATTCGCAGGCAGTAGGAAGTGAACTGAGACAAGCTTCTTCCAACAGTGCCACACCTATTTCAACGAGGCCACACCCCCTAATAGAGCCACTCCCTGTAAGCATTGGGGGTCAATTACATTGAAACTTCCAAAGTCCCTGATCAGGTTTACAATAGCAGGTATGACTTTCCTCCGGTGAAGCAGGCCTCATGTGTAATCCAAAAGTGCTTTGTTACCCATTCCCTCAGTGGTCACACCACAATGCACCAGTGGTGGTGGAGCCATGGAGTCCGCAGCTGTGTGGGTTGCTGATGCCTTTTCTTCCCCAGGAACTTCCATAGTACTTCAGGCATCATGAAAGCCAGTCAGCAGAGCAGAGACTTGGCGCTCAGTCCCAGGGTGATTTCTCTGTGTTCTGCAACCGAAGTGTGTGGCATCTTCAGCAATTAGATCCAATCATCTAGCTCCGGTGGGCAACCAGGAGAAGTGACAATAGCCTGTGTTATTATGGAAGCCTCTGGGGCATTTCAACCAACAACTCTAGGGAGGAAAACCACATCTGGCTCTAGGGTTTTCATGTAGTAACCTGTGGCCTCTGGGAAGAGCAGTATCCATCTGTTCAATTTTTTTAATTATATTTTTTAATCAGCTTACTCTAAAATAATATGTTTACATACGGGCATTTTCATTTATGCTTAGTTCTGATTGATCTTTTTTCTTCAGCTTCTTCTCTCCACTATTCCCATACCCCATCCTTGCTTAAGCCTGTCCATCCCACAACTACTTTTATATTCTATGTGTTCTTCTATGTCCCTCCTTCCTTAAGCCTCCCTCTCTATTGACCGTTTTTAGCTTCCTGATGAGTTAAACATACTAGTCTCAGAGTTCAAAGGTAGGCGCTGCAAATGAGAGCAATCATGTTGTATTTGTCTCTCTGGGCTGGGGCTACTTAGTTCCCAGTAATATCCATTTTCCTCAGAATTTCGTTTTTCTTTGCACCCGAATAAAATCCATTGTGCCACTAACACATGTGAGTGTGGCATTCATGACATCTGGCATACCGTTACATTCTATTGTGTTCCAAGCAACTTCTGAGCATTTTGACTTTCGTTCCTGAGTATCTTAGAGAGCAGATTTAATCTTTTTGAAAGGGTTTATAGCCAGGCATGGTGGCTCACACCTATGATCCAAACACATGGCAGAATGAGACAAAAAGATTACCAAAAGTTCAATGATAGCTTGGTCTACATAGGCCAGCCTCAGACTCTGTTCCATAAGATAAAATAAAAAGGAGGGGCATTCTGTTTCTCTTATTGTTCATTTGGTTGGTGGATTGGTTTTTGTTTTGGTTTGACTCATGGTCTTACCATATAGCTCAGACTTGCCTCAAAGTCAGGATCCTCCTGCCTCCACCTCCTAAGCACCAAAAGTACTGTGTGTACTGGTACTTAGGGTTCAGCTAGCATGACTTCTTAATCTCAGTGCAGTTATCATACCCAACAAAATTAATGTCACCAAACACCCAATTTCTATCCCCCCAAAGACTTCTTCCTACCTCCTCTTTAGAAAGGGCCACACGTGGCATTTACAGTATACATAGTTAAGAACAGTACCTTCCACTTTGTGTTTCTTTTTATCCCATTGGCTTTCTAAGAGACCAGAGTGCAGATTTTCTACTGCATGGCTCAATAATAGGCCATTACTCTAAGCTACTGAAAATAGAAAACTTAGCAATAAAATGAGAGGGAAATAAAGAAGAATTTTATGTAACTTTAAGTTAAACCTATATAGTCTGGAAAAAAAAGGTCTGGTCCATTGAGAGGTTTTTTGTTTGTTTTTTCTTTTTTTTTTTAACTGAAGTGTTAATAACAACTAATTTCATAAGGAATTTTAACATCAAAGCATCCAAAATGACTGTGTTCTTGTGACTGTTATGTTTGTATATCATTTTGGCAAATATAGTTTCTAGTACAGGAAGTAAACAAGTCAAGAAATTCTTTTTGCCAGATAGATAAGCTTAGTTCAGTTTTCGGGTGATTTAAAGAAATACCCCAAGGCTCAGGGGACATCAAGAAAGAGGGGAAAGAAAGAAAGAAGGAGCTGAAGGAGGGGGAGCCTGCTGTGAAATGCTATCACCTGGATATAACAGGGCCTTGTATTTGTGATTGCAGGGTAGCTATGCATAAACCCTAAACATGATCAAGCCACCGACATCATGTTATCAGCCAGCTTCTTAAGTGACAGCACTAATTGGGCTCATTAGGTTACCAGGGAAAAACTGAAATGGTCATGGGTGGGAATGGGAATGCATTGGGGATGCCTGGGGGCAGTCAGGGTGGATACAATGGAACCCTGGAATGATTTGTAATACATTGTTAACATCCTGTCCTTTTGTTAGGTTTTCCCTTACTGTAACAAAATATTTAAGAGAATCAACTTACAAAGACAAAAATTGTTTTGGCTCATGCTGTTGGAGGTCTCTGTCTGTGGTCAGTTGTCTCCATTTCTGTTGGGCCTGAGGCAAGCGGCATAAAACAGCAGTATCACCTGACAGAGCAAAATCCTGGCACTCAGGAGAGAGTAAGCAGAAAGGGGAAGATCCCATCATGGGCATGACCCCATGACCAGAAAACCCACTCCAAGACCCTCTTCTTAAAGTTTCTACCACTTCTCAGTCATACTTGGCACATCAGTTGTGTGTGTATGTGGGGGGGGGGGGGATGGGGTTGGGGGGGACCCTTTGTTT